TATTGATACAACTTTGCATTTGGCAACGTTGAATTCCATATCATTGGCGAGAGACCATCTGTGGGCTTGTGGGGTTCCACAAGGATCTGTGCTTGGAACGTGACTTTTCCTAACATTCATACACGACCTACCGAAGGCTCTGGGGTCGAAATCATTACTATTTAGAGATGACGCCAAAAGTTGGAATACAGTGACGCAAACAGCAGGCACTCCAGAACACGCTGAAAGCAGCTCATCTCTGGCCTCTTTTGAACGATATTGAAGTCAATGTACCAAAGTGAAAGGTTCTACCTCGACAGTACAAAGGACGATTTTCGTATTTCCTCGGAAATGAACGACTGCCACACGTCTCAAGTGGGAAGGATGTGGGCATCATCATGCAAGAAAAAATAAGCTGCTCACTCAACTGCGCCAAGGTGTCTAACGCAGCTGTAAAGGATGTTGGTTTGCTTAGGCGGGTCTTTGGCCGGTTTCAGTCAGCGCTTTTTCCCCATCTGCTATCAGCATACATTCGCCCACTCACAGAGTACGTTATCCAGGCATGGAATCCATGGCTACAACGTGATTGAAAAATGCTAGACCATCTACAACAGATGGTCACCAAAATGGTTAGGGTTTGAATCGTTATTCATATACAGAAACTTAATTCCCTGGATTCTTATATTCCAATCACAACCGGCGCATCAGAGGAGACATGACTATGGCATACCAAATAATGCAAAACCTAAGCCATCCGTGTCGCCCGCTACTAAAATTATCACCCAACGTTCATCTCAGAGAACACCCGTTCAATCTAGTGATCTCAAAATGCCCATTGAAATGCCGGCGTTAGTCATTCACAGCCATTGTGTTCGGTCTGGAACTTTCTCCCACTCCACGTGGTCTACGCGCCAAGCATTGAATCTTTCAAAGTGAGACTTGATGAAGCATTAACACACCTTACATTCCAACATAGGTGAAGCTGCGTGCAGCAGTGGAAGAAGCCCGTATCGTGTGACATTTTTACACAAGGAATTTTATGTGTATCACTGTCTTTTAACCACAACACGAATCGAAGGGACGAGAGAAGCATGAACTTGTAAGTTATTCCCCATAATCAAAACACTGAACATCAAACGTTTCCGGTCCGACCAAAAAAGAATGCATCGCTGTGATCATTCTAGCCTAGTTCTCAGGTTATCCATTATCAATAAAGTAACTGAACATTAGCCCCAACCGAATGGATTGATCACACACACACATACACATACACACACAAACACTCGAGGTCGAGTGAAATGGGTTGTCGGGTTGCATTTGTTGTGGTAAACTCTTGTTTGTGGTTTTTATATAATTTTGTAATCGTTTTTCTAAACATTTCCTGCATTATCTTCAGCTCCTGCCGTCCAGTTGTATGTTGAAAAAACCCACATAATGTGCCTGTGTCTTCTGGCTATTCAAGAGCTTCTGCGAGCGCCTCTCACATCGGCAATACACAATGCCATTGCGTGTGTGCATCCCTTTCAGGACGCATCTTCTTGAGCGTAATGTCATACGTGGGTGAGAGCTAGCCTTGGTTAACACTTAATCTCGTTCAATGCACACTACAAGCTTGCGTGCGTTTGTATTGTGTGCAGTCAGATGGAACATTTGATGCCCCGGTTCACACACACACACACACACACACACACACACGGTTCTATTTNTCCGCGGAGCTATTATGTGCTTTGCGATGCGGAGGTGTTCTCCCACCAAAGTTGGAGGACGGAAGGTCAACATCCGGGGCTATAAACTGGTCGGTCGGTTGGTAGGTCACCCAAGAGAGTTGGCTAATATCCTGATACCAAGCCAACCAAGAAGAGGTGTACGAGCTACACGAATACACCTTCGAATTTGTAGCAAAATTCAGTGACTGAACAAGGCATCGAGGTGTATTGGGCATCTGAAAGGTGTAGCTCCGATGATCTGAATATCGGCTCCCAAAAGATTGCGCATTTTACACACACCGTCCCACTCACTTGCGGGCCAGGTTTTAGCTAGTCAAAGACTCCGGGTTGTGAATTTCCCGATAAAATTCAACCACCTTGGCCTGTGAAACCTGGCCGTATTTTGGGCATGAGTGAATCATGGATATTCTTCTTTTGCATAGATTTTTGTACCGGGAATTGTTTGATACTCATTCTACCCACAGAAAAGTGTGATAAAAGTGTATATAAGAGACTGCTTCAAAACACGTTTCTCAGCCAAGGAATCAATAGCCCAGACAACCGAACAATTGGTCATACACGCCTAACGAAAAAAGTATCCCAAGTATTGGAATCGGGAAGAACACAATTAACCAATCGTTGCCCAAGCAACATGCAAAAGACAACTGGATTGGTTATATGATAACTTGAGTGTTCTGGAAAGTGGGTTAAGGAGTCATGAGGAGCCATTGATAGCTGAAGCACTTCTTACTTACTTACTTTACTGCTGCTGGAAGGGATAAACCGGCTTCAGACATGATCATGAAGTTCTTTGGGAGTTTGATACGAGAGACGTCCCCAGCGTCACTCGGCGTTTTTTTAATTTTGAGGATGCACATTTAGCCTTTGCACAACCAAGTGCGACCTGCAAGGCAGCAGGGAGTA